TTAACAGAAGGAACTGATCAACATGAACAAATACTGAAGAGAATTCTAGTAAGGATAAGTTCTAAAATATATCCATTATTTTTGGAATTTATGGTCATTAGCAAGAGTAATTTATGTGATGTTGAGACAAAAGTAAATTGCAGCGACATAAAAATTATCCAGGAGGTGAAAAGAGTAAACAAAATAAAGAGGTTACTCATAAGGTTTGTGAAGCAGGAAGTAGCTAGAAGCAAGCTCTGGAAGGAATGTGAAGTAAAGATATATTTGGCATGGAGAAACTTCAGAACCTTCCTGTAATGAAGGACACTATTCATCAGACAGGGGTGAAACAATGCCTGAGCATCCTAGAGTGAGAAACTGTCTGTTTGGCAAGCTTCCCCTGGGACTAGGGCTGAAGTAGTATGCTCCCAGAAATTACTTGGCTAACCCCAAAGTTAAAATAGGACATGGGTCCTATTCCCATTGCAATATTAAAAGCTTCAGGCCCTCGAGGATGTCAATTGAGTAGGGAGGGCCTAGAGAGTAGCACACCCAGGACCAGGCGTCTCTATGATCTGATTTATACTCAAACCACCACAGACTCTAGTTTTGTCAAGCAAAGACAGGGATCTGTTCTGAACAACAAAAGCCTGAATGAACACGGGTAGGTGTGGCCAGAAAAGTAGAAGCAGTTACAGAAGAGCCCCTTCATAGCCTCTCCAGAAGTAGTAAGTAAACTTAGTCAAAAGGCCTGAATTTGAGAAGGGAATAGACGTGATTCCTAATTTCTGAATGTGATTACATGGTTTGTCTTTAACTTCCTTGGCCAACTTTCCTTGTTTGATTCTTTACCTTCAGTGCCTTCCTTCTCTCAGGCTCGTCACTCTTGTAAGGAGTGTATTGAAGTTATGAATACACAGACTATGAAGATCTGAATTTTGACTCCTATATAGTCCCTACAACAGACCTCAAACCAGGAGAACTTCGATTACTAGAAGTTGATAACAGCGTAGTTCTACCCATAGAAGTGCCAATTCGAATATTAATCTCATCTTGTAAGGACTAAGTTCTGTGATAATGAAATAGGAGAGAGATGAGGTTGAATGCTAAGATGATTGGTGAATCAATGATAACTCAAGGGATCTAGAATAATAAATCCTATATGCAAAGTTAGCAGACCAAAAAGTAATTCCAAACAGACTATTTTATTGTATGTTATACAGGACATGTAAGTTCAATAACAAAAGACATTTAATGTAAATTTCAACTGAATTGCCCATTAAATTCAACCAAAAAGTCGAGACGTTTGCCACCATAATTATTTTACATTAATCATACATTTCCAACCATTTCATTGAGACTTGAAACAAAAATTAAGAGATATCAATATTTGTAATGAAGGAAATATTGTTTGCAAACAATCTTTTAAGAAAGTTATTTTGAAAATCAATGAGAAAATTTTAAGAATTGGCAATATATAAAAGACAAAATAACAAAACAAATGCAATTGCAATCTATACAATAATAAAGATAAGGTGTTTACTAGCAATAATAAAGACAAAATGGTTGATATACAAAAAAAAAAAAATTTTAAAGTGGCATACATTTAACAAAGAGAGTAAATGCAAGTTGGTAAATGCAGGGGAAAATAAAAAATTAATATAATAACACTAACAAAGATAAATTCAATGGATTTCTATATGCCAGAAATATACAAGGCAATACATAATGCAGAAAAACATACTCACTAAAAACATTCAAAAATATTAATGATAATGCAAACATTCCAGATCAAATTTTAATGAGATTTTTAATTTTTTAAGGAAAGGCAGAGAGGATATATATTTATGACACAGAAGACTTGATAATATAAAGATGTCAACCTTTTTTTTCAAAATTAATCTTCAGGTTTAACATACTCCAAATCAAAACCATGTTATTTTAGAACTCAACAGGAATTCTAAAGTTTGTCTGGAGAATAAATGCAATAAAATGTTTTAAAGTTGAAGAGAACAATAAGAGGAAAATAGTCCTACTGTGTATTAAATTTACTATAAAGCTAATTTGTTTAACTTGGTTTGATATTAACACAAAAATGACCAGAAAAAAATAGAAACAATAAATTTCCAGAAATTGAATTTTATATATTAAAAAATATACTATGTGTCAAATAAGGCATAATAGTCTCTTGGTGGGAGGTGGAGTAACCATTTTTAGTTACTTGAAATCTATTTATTTACATATCTCTCACTAACAGCAAAATTAATTCCATGTAAATAGATTGTGCCACAAAACCAAAAAGTCAACCATTAAAAATTAGAAACCGCCGGGCTCGGTGGTTCAGCCTGTAATCCCGCACCTTTGGGAGGCTGAGGTGAGTGGATTGCCTGAGCCCGCGGGTTCGAGACCCGCCTGGGCAGCGAGACCTCATCTCTACAATAAACCAACAACAAAAAAAAATCAGCCGGGCGTGGTAGCGCATGCCTGTAATTCCGGCTACTTGGAAGGCTGAGGCGGAAGGATCTCCGGAGCCCAGTGGGTCGAGGTTGCGGTAGCCGGGAGCGGCCACTGCACTCCAGTCTGGGTGACAGAGTGAGACTCTAACTAAAAAAAATTAGAAACCATAAGGAAGTGAAAATTGGTCAAATTTTAACAAAGAATTATATTCTACAGTTGTGTCTTATTTGGATAATGGAATGTTTTAAGAATTTAGTGAAAGCTAAACAGATCCTCTTCCAGAAAGATGTGAATATAAAAAAAATGTTTCAACATAACTTTAGGAAGTACACAAACTTCCATGAGACTATCTACAAATTCTTGCTTAAAGAGTCCTATTTTAAACTTAAAAGATAGAAAAAGTATAAAAGGAAAATAGTATATGATTTCCAAAGGTAAAATACACATATGTATTTGCAGCACATAAAACCAAACAAAAATTGGGGAAAATGCTATAAAACCATTTGATAACATTTAATAGTCAAAGAAAATATGTTTATAAACATTTTAAATGTTGATAGAGTTTATTAGTGAATTGAAAAATGTATAGATACTATGTTAAGAAAAAACACGGGGTGAAAAATTCTATTTACATGAAACATCAACTGTTTTAGAAGACTGCAAAGAAGAATGCTGAAAATTAAATACTTTAAATGTTAGACCTTTGGTTACTGAGATTTGGACTTCAAGTTATTTTTTTCATTTTTCTTTCTAAAAGTGTTATTGTTTTATTTTTTAGCAACTTCATGATAATATATGCTTATAATCAATAAATGGCACAGTCATCTATTCTTCTCAGTGGTAGTAATAAAAATAGCTTTGATCTTGCACTTCATGCCACAAAATGAAGCGAAGGCAGAGATTTGGGAAAGATAATATTGATACCTAAAGCGATAATACCTTAAGAGCTTATTTGGAGGTTCTATCAGGAGAGCTCAGCCACCTGTATCCCCTTGACCAAAGAAAGGTCCTCCTCTAGCAGGGATGGTTGTCCTCTTCCACTGAGAGTGCAGCTTCAGAAGAAACACACAAGGAGTGGTGAGGAAGGAAGGGGACACCCTCCTAGCCAGCCAGATCAGCTGAATCAACCCTGGCAATCAAAGGGGTGTCAGATGCTGCAACCAGATCACCCTCACACCCTAAATTAATAACATCTTGACAAGACAAAGTATTATTCATGAATTAAGGTGATAAAAAGAATTATCAGTATTTGAGGATTACCAAAGCATAATACCAAGTACACTCTTTGATACAATTATTTGGAAATGTTCTCCAACAATTCAAGAATGAACAAAATCAAGAATGAAGAGAACCAAGTTAAAGGGCCAAGAATGAACCATGAAATGACTTAAAAAGTTTAAATGTGTGCAATAAATGCCTGTTATACTTCCAAACTATTCCACAGAAAAATCTTGAAGTGGTTACAAGTTTTCTGGTAATTATTTCCCTTCTTATGTCTTTTATTAATAAAATTGATTATTTTTAAATGTAGCTTTAAGTATGTCTAACATTACTTTCATAATCAGAAGAGAAAACAAATGATATTCCTAAAGGGTGTGGACCCATTGGTTATAATTTGATAGAGCAAATGCTAGAATTAAATGCAAAAATTAACAGTTTTGCTATAGTCACTCACTAGTGTTTTCAATGTACAATTCTTGTCTAGACAATTCATTCAACATGTTTCCTCACATATGAATAACAACACCTACATGGTAAAGATTAAATGAGTCAGATTGTGTCAGAAATCATTTGCCAACCACAGACACTGTTTAAAAGAAAAGCATGGTCAGAGTTTCCATTATAACTACTTAGTCTCTACCTGAAGATCCCCAAGAATAAATACCTCTGCTCTCTAACTTTACTTGCTAAATCTCAGCTTCTTTCTAATGCCTATATATTTTTCTTTGTATCCATGTTCTCCATATAAAAACTCCATTCAGAATTTCAGGAAAATAAAGCTAGTAAATCTTCACTTGTATTCTGCCAAATATTCTACTAAAATCATTATCATTGAATCTATTTGTGCCCTTCTGTTCTTATCTGAAATTTTTGCAAGGGTCTAAATGGGGTAGCGTACGCATTTTGTTAAAAAAGGATCAAGTTTCCGGGCTCGGTGGCTCAGCCTGTAATCCCGCGCTTTGGGAGGCTGAGGTGAGTGGATTGCCTGAGCTCGCGTGTTCGAGACCCGCCTGGGCAACTTGGCGAGACCTCATCTCTACAATAAATAAATAAATAAATTAGCCGGGCATGGTAGCACGCTCCTGTAGTTCCAGCTACTTGGAAGGCTGAGGTGGGAGGATCCCTGGAGTCCAGCAGGGCGAGGCTGTAGTGACCAGGAGCAGCCACTGCACTCCAGTCTGGGCGACAGAGTGAGACTCCGACTCAAAAAAAAAAAAAAAGGATCAAGTAATTGTAGGTTAGCCTTATTCCTCTATAGAAATTTTAGCCCTCAACTGAACTAAGCACTGTCTTAATTTGTTATCCCTTAATTCACAGATGCTGAGAACAAGACATCTCATGATATGGATATTGACTTGAATATAATCAATAGCTCAGGATTTCAAGTAACTGAGTTCATTCTTATGGGATTCCCTGGCATTCATGAGTGGCAGCACTGGCTCTCCCTGCCCCTGGCTCTGCTCTACCTCTTAGCTCTTGGTGCCAATCTTCTCATCATGATCACCATTCAACATGATACCATGCTACATGAGCCCATGTATCACTTACTGGGCATATTGGCAATAGTGGATATCGGCCTGGCCACCACCATTATGCCCAAGATCCTGGCCATCTTCTGGTTTGATGCCAAGGCCATCAGCCTCCCTGAGTGTTTTGCTCAGATCTATGCCATTCACTTTTTCATGTGCATGGAGTCGGGCATCTTCCTATGTATGGCAGTAGATAGATATGTAGCCATTTGTTATCCCCTTCGGTATCCTTCCATAGTCACTGAAGCTTTAGTGGTCAAAGCTACACTGTCCATGGTGCTCAGGAATGGCCTATTGACCATCCCAGTCCCTGTACTGGCCACCCAGAGACACTACTGCTCCAGGAATGAGATTAACCACTGCCTGTGCTCTAACTTGGGGGTCACCAGTCTGGCCTGTGATGACATTACCATTAACAGATTTTACCAGTTGGCCTTGGTCTGGGTTGTGGTTGGGAGTGATATGGGCCTTGTCTTTGCTTCTTATGCTTTGATTATTTGCTCAGTGCTGAGGTTGAACTCTGCTGAAGCAACATCTAAGGCCCTGAGTACCTGCAGCTCCCACCTCATCCTCATTCTCTTTTTCTACACAGCTATTATTGTAGTCTCTGTTACTCACCTGGCAGGAAGAAGGATTCCCCTTATCCCGGTTTTCCTCAATGTGCTGCATATTGTCATCCCCCCAGCTCTTAACCCCATGGTATATGCCCTTAGGACACAGGAGCTGAGAATGAGCTTTGAAAAGCTGCTTGAGCATGTGTCCAGGAAGTAAGCAAACTTTAAATGGAAAAATATTATAAGCGTAACTGCAGAAAAAGCACAGGCTTTGGAGCCCTACATTCCTTCATTAAAATTCCATCTCTCCCAATTGCTGAAAACATCAATTGAAATTAATTCACCTATTTTTATAGCATGTAGTATTGAGAGGCACCACTCAAAGCATTTCACACATATTAAATCTATTGATTTCTGTAATTACTCTATGAAGCAAGCAAGATTGTTATTTATACATTTCACAGATGAGGAAACTGAGTTGAGAAACTTGCCCAAGGTCACATAGGAAGTTGCAGCATGAGGTTTGAGCGGAAGCAGCCAGGTTTCAGAGTCCCTGATCTTAACTTTTTCTCTCTATTCAATCCCACTACTAATTTTTTCAAATTCAAATTAGGATGAAAAAACAAGGAGAATAGCTATCATTTCTTTTTTAATAAAAGAAAATTCCATTTTAAAGCTGGCCACAATTTTCCTGCCTAATGGTAAAGACAGTAAACTTAAAATTATCTAGAGTCATTCTAGAGGACCTGCCTCATTATACAAATGTAATTCAATAATTTGCAGCAGGCCGGTCTTGGTGGCTCAGCCTGTAATCCCAGTGCCTCGGGTTCGAGACATCCCCAGGCAACTTGGTGAGACCTCATCTCTACAATAAATCAAAAATTAGCCGGGCATGGTTGCGTGTCTGTAGTTCCAGCTACTTGGAAGGCTGAGGCGGAAGTATCGCTGGAGCCCAGCAGGTCGAGGCTGCAGTGGCCAGGAGTGTGCCACTGCACTCCTGTCTGGGTGACAGAGTGAGACACCAACTCAAAAAATAAATAAATAAATAAATAATTTGCAGCAACATGAATGGAGCTGGAGATCCTTACTGAGAAACAAAAAACCAAATACCATATATTCTCACTTATGTGTGGGAGCTAAATGGTCACAAAGATGGAAAAAATAGACACCAGGGACACCAACAAGGGAAGAGGAGGGCTAGGGTTCGGAAACTATCTATAGGGGTACAACGTTCACTATCCTGGGAATGGACCAACTAAGACCCAATCCCCACCACTACACAATATGCCCATGCAATGAACATGCTTGAGTACTCCCTGAAAATAAAATAAAAACAAAACAAACTTTTAAAAAGAATTTGACAAAAATTATTCTGTCACTTCACAAACTCTTCACTAACTCTTGAGTTCATTTGCACTAGAACCCTAAAAGGAATATTCCAGCCACTTTTTTTTCAAACAGGCAACACCCAATTGAACATATGTAATGAATTAAGAAAATCCCAATGAAGTCTTATAGTTAGTTGGCAGTATAAAAGACAGTAAATGTCTTTGAAGGGGAACTTTGTCCATAAGAAAAAATGACATATGTTTAGTGACAAAGAGAAAGAAAAGTTAGTAAAAAAATTTTTTGGCCAGGCTTGGTGGCTCAGCCTGTAAACCCAGCACTTTGGGAGGTCAAGGCGAGTGGATTGCCTGAGCCTGCGGGTTCGAGACCAGCCCAGACAACTTGGCGAGACTTCATATCTACAATAAATAAAAAATTAGCCAGGCGTGGTAATGCGCACCTGTAGTTCCGGCTACTTGGAAGGCTGAGGCAGAAGGATTGCCAGAGCCCAGCAGGTCGACGCTGGGGTGGCCTTGAGTATGCCACTGCACTCCAGCCTGGGCGGCAGAGACTCTAACTCAAAAAAAAGTTTTTTAAAATTTATTTCAACACCACAATATGGATCAGCAAAGGGTGGAATACTGTCTCCAGGATGACACATAGGTAAGGTTGGAAGACTGTCACAACCCAAACACATGGTATTACAGAAAACTTGGAAAACAGAAGCCTAGCTTGTGCCAGTAAATTTGAAAGTCTGAGTATGAAAACCTTAGGCCATTAAAACTTTAGCACTTGAAGCATCTTCCCTCTAATACAGAGATAGCAAGAACATTATTATATCTATGGACAAGATAGAATTGGACCATGTGTTTCACCTGTTTTTAGCAGTGATCCCATATATCAAGGACAGAAGCATTGATAGCTAGAAATCAGTAGCACACTAATGAATGGATAAAATTTCCTCTTTTTCTTTCTATATAGTGTTTGGACTAAGTACTTGAGATCTTTTGTCATTTCAGAAAGAAAAAAAAAGTAAGATTCCAGAAAAGAATACTGCAATTTTTTCTAATCTAGGAGATTTTCACTTCTAGAAATGCCTTGACAACCAAAAAGGTGTATTAAGCCAACTTTAGGGCACATGCGGGAGAAACACGAGTAACAGACATATATGTGGCTGTTTTTCTGAAGAGAATTTCAGGAGGTTTAGTGTTTATACATTTCCTTAAAAAGGGGGGAAGGCATGTAGGAAGAGAGGCAGGTAGATGGTAAGGCGAAGGGTTATATTCCTATAAGACTTTAGAAAATACCCAGTAAATTCACATTTTACATAAGATAAGGTGAATATTTGAAGAGAAAAGGGGAATAGAGGAAGAGTCGTTTATGTAGATATCTCTGGGAAGGTGAAGGAATGACAGATAGGTCTCCTTTCTTCTGCACCTAGGAAGATAAGCTTGTAATCAACATTACAATTTGGAATTGAACAGACTTTACTTTTAGAAACTAGACTTAAATTGTAGACCTAAAGTTACAATTGGCATGCCCTTGTTTATGGGAGGCCGGCAAAAAAAATTTTTTATAAATGATCTGTGGGAGCAATCTTTTGTAGATACCTGAGGTCATTTATCTTTCTGTGGGGATCTGACTGATGTATAACACTAGTAAAAAGGTATTCATTTGGAAGAGGGAGTTACATGACTCAGCCTCCAGGCTTAACCTTCCCTTCTGCATAAGGAGTTTGAAGGTCCTGAGATGTTTTATTTTCCTGTACAATAACATGCTGCAACGCAAATGCAGAATCATTCATGAAACAGAAAATATGAAGACTCTCCAAAAGATGAAAGGCAATTTTGATGGGATTATGAAAAAGAAGGAGACCACACTCGGTGGCTCAGCCTGTAACCCCAGCACTTTGGGAGGCCGAGGCAAGTGGATTGCCTGAGCCCATGGACTCTAGACCAGACTGCGCAACTTGGCAAAACCTCGTCTCTACAATAAATAAATTTTAAAGAATTAGCCAGGCGTGGTAGTACACTCCTGTAGTTCTGGCTACTTGGAAGGCTGAGGCTGCAGGATCACTGGAGCCCAGCAGGTCGATGCTGGGGTGGCCGTGAGTGTGTCACTGCACTCCAGCCTGGGCGGCAGAGTGAGACTCTAACTCAAAAAACAAAAAAAAAAAAAATGAAAGAAATGAAAAAAAAGGAAAGCTCAAAATGTGAAGGTGCATGAGAACTGCCACAAAAATAATGTTGATTCAAACTCAGAAATGTTTAATACTAAGAGAAGCAGGGGGCCCTGAGAAAATCTGGTGATTAATGGGATGGCACAGTAGAAATAACCAGGCAGACCTAACCTTCTGTACATATACTCTTGGACCAAGTGGTCCAAAGTCAAGCACAGGGGTGGGTACTCCCAGAATATTGGAGATGGAGTCCGAAAACAGAACAGTAACCCAAATGACTACAAATCATCATGCCCCATAAGGCATGTGGAACAAACTCAAACATAAATTAAGCTATTTGCATTTCCCATACGTCCCTACAACAAGTTGCATCAAAGACAGCAGCATTCCATGATTGCCTACTAGAAAGAAAAACAAGCACACAACCAATAAACAAGATGACCTAAACATTGCCCTCAGTTTGACTAAACATTAGATGTGTTTCTTCCTAACTATGGGCCTCTGACTTACCTTTTCTTAAAGCATTTATTTCAGAAAACTTGCTAATTCTTTCTCTTTTCCTTTGAAATATATATAATTCTTCTACTAACCCCTTATCCACTTTATAATCCAGAAAATGTCTTTCTCAAGGGCCTGGCAAACATCTCTTGAAATGTAAACACTGAAAGGAGATAGCACCCAAATTTGCCACTATCTGTGGGAAGGTAGGAGACTAACTTCAGTAGGCACCAATTAGCAAACACAGATGGTCTAATCACAGGGAAAAACATTTGCAAACTTCTGTATAACTCAATGTACTCGACACATTCCATCAATCAACATTCCCACTAAATTCATCCAGTACTTTTCCACTAGCTCACCCCAGTGCTTAACCTCACTGTCCCCCACTCCACACCTTTTGTTTTAGCAGAGCAGTTTCCAGACTTGGTCTCTTCTGTCTTCCCTATTGATGGCAATAGTATCCAAATAAAATGAACTTATATTTACTTTCCTGTCCAATGTGATTCTTTCATACCAAATCCAACAGATATTTGAGCAAAATCATGCCTGAAGAGATAGAATAAATTCAACATCATTAACCAGAACAGCTCCTCTCAAGGTGACCTTCTCTATGTCAGCTCTCCAACTCAGAATTCCAATCACTCATCCCCTCATGTATAGGAGTAATGACAAGTACTGTTACTAGCCCTGAGTAATTTCAGTCTATCACCTAGGATCTTTTACTGACTATACGTTTATAAATATGTTTGTATGTATATCCTCCTCAAAAAATTACTCAAATTTGAATGGGTTACCTGTTTCCTAATGAGACTAAAACAATGCTCATTCAATTTGGGAGTATGGAGGTCATTAGAAAGAACAGTTTCAACATAGTAATAGAGCAGATTGTAGATGACTAGTTATGCATTTAAAAGATAAGGAAGTGCAGACAATACACAATGATGTTTCTTACAAAAGAATGGGACAGTGAAAGGCAGACCTTAGGGATATAGGGGTGAGACTAGAAATGCCATAGAAAGATCGAAGAAGAAGTATGGGGAATCTAGATATTTTTTGAAGTTGGTATTCCTTAGAATATTCAGATACCAAGTAGCATGATACAGGAGAAAGAAAAAGACCCTCGAAAGAGAAAAGAGGGCATATATCCATTTCTGTTGTGTCACTTATTGTGAACACACAAATATGTTACAACACTATTGATACATTAGGAA